ATATATATAATCTGAATAAATATGGATTTTTAAAGGAATAAAAGCCAAACATAAACCTTAAACGACAGCTTTGCTAAAGCTAAAACAAGCTACTCCTGGATGGTGCATTAAATGATTTAAACTATATCAAGAGAACAGTCTATATTTAATAAATCAGTTTCCTTTGTGACCTGAAAGCAAAACTAACAACATATACCTTTTTTAAATGATTTATAAGGTGTGTTTATATGAAGTCAGAATATTTTTTTGTTAAATAAAACGAGTTTGAGTCCTGACTCCTGTCTGTGGTTTTGTTTTTGTTCTGCACCATAAAAACAGCTGAAGGGGATCATGTTGTGTTTGTGACCGTCGTGCTTCCTACCCTCTGTGCTCCAGAGTCTTGATGTTGAAGCCCAGTGTGGGTGAGATGGTGCTGACATCTTCTCCATTAAACTTCTTCAGGATGGTCGTCTTCCCGGCGTTGTCCAGCCCTCTGCACGCGACACGTCAAGAAAACCTCAACACACACCTGGTGGCTAATTACACCCAACAGTAACATGGCTAATACATAGACTGCAACGACGTTATAACAAACAAAAAAACTCCTACCACCGGTTGTTTTACATCTATATAATGAAACAGAAAGCGCTGTTTTCGCTGCCTCTTTAATTTAGTTTACGTTTTTATTCTTGAAAGCTGTCGTTTTTAGCTAGCTGCTAGGCTAAACCGGTACAGAAAGGATACAACATAAGCAGCCTCATTTCGCGTTCCTTTTGCTTCATCTTCTTCAAAATTGTCAACAAGCCCATCTCGTCACCTTACGTCTTAAATATTCACCGCGACAAAAAGTGAAACATAAATATTTATGGTGTAAAAACCTACAATTCTGTGTTAAATGCGTTTAGCTTTTAGGAACAGCATTAAACCGCTAATGCTAATCCCGCCCATTGAGCCACTGATTGGTTGAGTTGAAAGAACACGGCAACTGATTGGTCAGAAGGCGCTGCCTAAATGCGACGGTTTTGGTCGCTTCTTTTGTGCGTCACCACACCTCCATTTTAGTCAGGTCAACTCTTTTGGTTTTTGAAAGAAAAAGCACCTAAAAACTTAATTTTTGTATTAAGTGTTATTTAAATAGATTCTATAAGCGTAAATTGTTAACCCGTATTTATTTACTTTAGATTTATTTCATCTCTAGTTAAATGTAACTTGTAATCTGAGTTTAGTTGTAGTTTTTAAAAACTTTTTACATGAATAATTTTTAATATGTAATTATGCAATTATAGTACTATTATGCATTGTGTATTTTTGTGTAATTTAGTGTTATAGTCATTCAGCCACAACACAACAAACTGAGTTTTATCAGAACATAAAAATGTCATGAAACGAGGTGCTAGTTAGAAAACTTGATGAAAAAGTCTAGACACAACTTTCAAAGAGGGGGATCACCACCAAGCATTGAAAATCTGAAGAATAACACTGAAAAATTGCAAATTTTGAAAACCTATTTGGGCTTTAAGTAAAGAGTTCCTTCAAATAGTTTTTTTATTTCAACTCCCATGGAGTCCAGACACAGAGCAGCTTTGTAAAATCACTGACTCTGAAGT